GAAAATTTGATTCGGGTTGCGACCAATTCAGGTCGCGACCAGAGTCGCGGAACGAATTAAGTTCGTGACCCAAGGTACCACTGTATCACCTACAATGGATGATTGTAAGTGTCCTGTAAATACGACAGAGCTATTGAGGGGGAGAAAGAGGAAAAGATCACTTGGAATCATCAAATTCACTTGAGTGGACATTTGAACATTTATCACTAAACATTTGGGACACCTGCTGTATGAAATATCGTAAAACTATCTGTCTATTTATTGGAAATGTACAGTGCAATTCTTTGGGGGAGAAACTATATCTTGATGTAATAGAGATAATCAGAAAATGGTGGCCGTCCCTTTCATTAATGTTATTGTGTTGATGGTGTCAAATGACATAGTATTTTGTCTGGACCAGTATTTTACTAACATTCTAATGGAACTAATTACAAGACTCAACCACAGTACATGCAGATTGCATTCCAATATACAAAGGAACATTTCTTCCCAAGGGTGTCTGCCAGGAACGGGGATTTCTTCCCATACCATCTGCCCATCTCTTCAGATCTTCTGATGATCTTAAAAACTCCAGAACTGCCTTCCTTGTCAGAAGCATATGATGTAGCTACAAAAGAGGCCACCTCAGCTTTGACCTGTGTTCTCTAAAGCATTATCCCTCAGACTTAATTTACAGTCCTTTTAGCACGTTGAGTCATTTTTAATTAAACCAGCATTTTAAATTCTACAGTCTCTCCACCTGCTTCAAAAAGTGCCTTTTATAACACCTGTTGTTTTTGTTTTCTAAGGAATGAAATCATCTTCTGATTTGCGTTGTTGTACACTACTCCACAGTTGATAGACATATTTAAATAAATAAATAAATTATTCCATTTTTTTCCTGTTGTAAAAACAAGAAAGAAAAGTAAGTATATTAAACCTCAGGTAGCTTTACCATACCCATTTTCCTTCCTTTAAAAGAGAGAATCATCATCATCATCTAAAAAGCTGAGTACTGTCTTCTCTGCTCATGTAATTGCACTAATATAGACCATGTCTCTTAAGCTCTCAGAGATAAATTTAAAAGAAAAAAGTCCTTCCCCCCAGCTGTAAAAAAGCTTTTCTACCTCTCATCCATGGTAAGGAAGAAGTTAGAAAAAACATTGGGTAAACAAGGGGGGATCTGCAACTCTATGAGCAATATTATGAGAACAACCCTTCGTTCTCCTCTCCCAACATAAATTATGGTGACCAGGGCTGGTTGATTCCATGCTAATACCTAGTTTTACAGTACCTTTGCTTCAGCAGCCAACTGCTAGAAAGCCTGTATTTGAATTTTTCCCTTGCAAATTGTTTCTGACAAATTCAATTAAACATGTACATATACTGTTTCCCTATGCAATGGTACAGATCTATAATTTTTAACAACTGGAAGAAGAATGTTGAACTACATAGACCTTTGATCTGACCCAATATGGTTCTTTTTCTATTCTTGTATTCTTAAAAATGTAAACAGCTTCTTAATATGCATGATTTTTTTCAGGGGGTTTTGTCTGCTATCACCATAACATTACACTGAATACTGAAGTTGATGAATTGTATTCTAAACATGACAGAACCAGCATTTGCCAGTTCTGCCATGGCACAAAAATATACATCTGAAGCTTGAATATTTATAAATTCTTATGATTTTTATAAAGTATCCTTCCATAACTATAATCAAATGATAGGTCATTCTCTGTCCTTAGAAGTATCCTATAATTTGACCCAGAGTTGTTGGCATCCCATGTAACAATCATGACGCTCCATGTGCCTTGGATCCACATCTATTGTCCTTCTCTGACAATGGCAAATTCTGGATCTATGACTTTTAATGTATAGTTGATAGACATAAACTTTAATTTGATGGTGGTTTGTGGCAGATCCCACATAAAAATCATGAAGACTTATTTTGTATTTACTATATGCAATTATGTTCTTGCCCATTTCTGGTTAGCCATGTCCCCACAGCACCCATTTCATGGTTGGCCACGTCCCTATGGCAAACCAGCTTCAGAAAGGCTTCATTTGCATAATAGGATGGAATGTTGGGGGGGGGGGAAATCCCAAGCCCATGTTACTTGGGTTATGAAGTAGCCTTTTTAACGTGTTAAATGTAGTCTTTGTTTTAGAAAACTGTGTTTGGGAAGTATGGAATGCGGCTTGGCTCTCTAGAGAGAGATCTGTCTTAAAAAGACTGAAACTACCTCATCATAATTACTAATTCAATCCTGAAGGCTAAAAAGGATTATTTTTATGGTGACTGAGTGGTTTTCCCCAATTGTTGGTTGAAATTACTGGTTACTGAAAGAAAGTACTAGGTCAGCCAGTGAAAGCAAGCACTGATGACGTAGGCTACAATCCTCTACGTGCAGTTACCAGGGAGTAAGCCAACTGTGTGAAATGGACTTTCAAAGAAGGCACATGTGTGCTGAATTCTGCAGTTAAGATATTTTCGTAACTTTCCTATCCTGTACATATATACAATGGAAGTGATGATGTGGACATTCTGAAAAAGCAGGTAAGACCCCAGAAAGGAAACTATCCAGCTCTTCTTCAACAAAGGCTGTCCCTGTCTACTACACCAATATCCTGCTTAGAACCTGTCAACCTTCTTTCTCTCAGCCACCAAAAACCTGACAAACAAGTATATATCTTTCCATCCACAGTTGATAATAAGTTGAAAGGATAGCACTAGCTGGACACCATCAAGTCCAGCAGTTATGGTTGACAACCTTGTTGCCTTGAAGACAAGTTTGTATAAAAGGAAATGAAATAAATACCATGATGAATGTAAAACTGTGCCAAGACTTAAGAGACTTTTCACCACCTTTCTGTCAGGACACACTTACAAGACTGGGGAAAGCCAATTACATCAAGGCCACATGTTTTTCTCATAATTGAAACCTAATTTCTGATGGCCCTAGGGAATCTATTCATCTTTAATTGTAACATGAAGCTTGTATTCAGGAATAAAATAAACTCAATTGTTGGAAGATGGGGGGAAATTGAGCTTTTACTAAAAAAAACAAGGAAAAGGGAGAAAAGGGGATGGAGAAAAGAGAACTTGGCATATTGATTATCTGTTCTTTCAGAAAGATATTAATATGGAAAACTTTTCTCTAAAGTTTAAGGGACTACATGATGAGTCTTCTATGAAAACTATTTCTTGAGTGGATATCTAAATAGAATAGTGGATTGTAACTATTTTAAGTAAGTGAACAGTGTTTTGTTGGTATTCCTTTTCAGCATGGTGTGCATTAAACAAACCCATCTCTCAAGCAAAATGACTAAATAGTAGGAGCACTCAGCGCATCCCATAAAACAGCTGAAACAACATCTAGAAACCAATATGTAATTCAAAAGCTAGGCTAATTACTGATGGTTCTTGTAAAACAGCTTCTTGTTTTACTTTGCTTTAGAATGAACACGTTACCGAATGAAAATTCCATATTTTGATTTCAGTTGAATTATCTTTATGAAGATGTGTTGAAGGCCTGGTGAGAATAGAGGAGTCAGAGAACTGGATTCTGGAAGGTAGATTGTATAAATCCTGACAAAAATAAGCAAAAATAATGAAATCCATTGCCATATATTTATAATTCATGTGTCTGGTTGGAAATTTCTTTGCATTCAGTTTGGCACTGAAATAGTGAATGGAGATCCAAGGAAATGATCCCAAATAAATTGCCATATGTGTTATATGTGAATAGCAAGGACTGGGGACACCCAGTAGTCATTGTGCTTCAAGAAGATGGAAAAAGAACACTATTTCAAAATGGAAAACAATTGTTCCAAATAAATACCAGGAGGTTTAATGATGCCTCCTTACGCCAGTAGCCTGATACAAATTGGAACATCCAATTTATATGCTTTTACTTTACTCTGACCATTAAACACAACCATGCAACTACCACATTAAGTTCATTCTACATTCCAAATAATAAATTTCACTGAATGCAACATTTTGGAGAATAAATCCCATTTAATAAAATGTGTCTTGGTTCTGATAAAAAACTAGTAAAATGGCATTGTTCTATATTAATATTTAATCAGAATATACCTTCAAATGTAACAAGCTAATAGATGGAAACAATGGGCAATGGATGCCAAATGACCATTAAATAGTAAATTGGATTTTTCTCATGTGTAAAATGACCTTACTTGTGTGTAAAATGTTGAATGAATTTTGTCCATTGCATCCAAATTCTGCTAGATTGAGGTCTGGTAAATTGAAGGTTTAATAAATTTTCAAAGTACATATTCATTTATCATGCAGATTTCTTTTTTTAAAAAAATGCTGATTAATATGGAAACAAGGCACAACAGGTTTATGAATGAATACTTGCAAACTCAGCATAAATTTGGAACAGACTTGCTTATTCCAACATGTGAATCATGCAACCATCCTGTGCACACATAGATACTTTCCAACTTACTGCTTCTTCTCAATTATTTGTATTGATGATCCTTATAATTATTATCAATAATAATTATTGATTAGCAAAAGCAATCTTTTTCCTCATAATGTATTGACTTCTTCTACGTAAGCCTTTTTTCAGAGTATTTTATATATAATCCTAAATTTATTTATTAAGAAGTAAATCCCACAGAATTCAGTGCAATTTCAGTATCACCATGCTTAGGATAGAGTTGTTAATATTATTTTTTAAAGCTCCTGAAGATTCAGTAGCATATTTTCTCAATAGTTAGATACGAGTAAAAAAAAATGGTCAACACCTCCAAGAATGGAATAAATTTCATAGCATCCATATATGGATAAGCAAAGAGAACTCTGGTAGTAGGAACACATAAAGAAGAGAGGAGTATGACCAGAGAAGGTGGTTCTTTTGGTAAATTCTGTGGTTGGGTTTTTGTTTTTGTTTTTGTTTTTGTTTAAGAAATGAAAAGCTCATCTTCTGAATAGCTACTCATTATAAGGTATGGGAACTGAGAGCTGATGATTGTGGGTGATGGAGCAATTGCTTCTTGCTGAGTAAGCAGAGACTCTAAGAGGAATATAAGGCACTCAGATTCCCAGCAACAACCTCACCAAACCATCAGGGATTGCTAACAGGAATTTGCCTGCAGATTCCTTAGAGAAATTTAACGGGGAGTCCCTAACAAATTTGTTACCTGGCTAACCAGAAGAAATAAAAGCCTTCTACTGAAACAGTGTGAAAATAAATAGAGATGAATTTGCAGTTATAACCTATTTTGCTCTTGGTAGTGTTTATATTCCTGTCCAAAACAATATAGCATATACAGTATTTGCAGCATGTTTAAGCTTGGAGTGATGCTAAGAAAAATTGGAGCAGCACTTAGATCTGGATGTGTTCAAATAAACGCTACATAGTTGTTTGTCAGGGATATTTTAATTTGGGTTTCTACACTGATCAGAAGGTTAGACTTGATACCCTTAATCTTGCCTTCTAACTCTATATTTCTATGATTTTTAACATGGTAAAACAAAGAACTTAGCAATTAAACAAAATATAGCATGGACATTACTTATCATTTAAAATGAGATATCCCAGTTTTTTCTTCATATTTTCTAATTATTATTTTTCTTGCTTCCCTTGCAGCTGTGCTTGCTATCATCCTTAGTCATACCATCCATCATCCAGCTACTGAAGCCAACTCCCTGCAACAAAGAGACACTTGTAAGTTTATATTGCTGCAATAAATTTTTGGACAATGAAAGTTCTTTGGGAAAAAAAAAAAGAACTCAGTAACTCCTGGATATACTGCACAATCCAGATCATCAAATAACCTCCATGCTGGGATTTGTGGAATGTTCCATCTTTAGTCAAAGCTGGAGACCTAATAAATTAATAATCCTATAGTGTATACTGTAAACATGAAAATCACTGGGTCAACAGAAGAACTCCACCTATTTTTCCCCTTCAGAATCTTACAGGTAAAGTTTTCCAAGTTTATACAGGTAAAATAAAATATTAATTGGAGGCATTGTATAAAATATATTATTTTTCAAATGGCCCTTGGGGCTTACAATGAAATGAAAACTTTGATGAAAACAAGTTTTGAAAAAATAGTTTGTATATTCAGGCATCTCAAACAGCATCTACTTTTACATCTCAGTTCTTGTATTCCTTCAGTTTGGTTCTTTTGTATTCTTAGTTTGAATAGGACCATCTGAGAATTCATTGCTTTTGAGTTGTCCAAGAGCACTAATGGCAGGAAGATGTTTATGTTAAAGGAGAAAGTTAAAGGATTGAAAATCTCTCTATCAGCACTATGAGCACTGTAAGCCAGTGAAACATCTCAGGCATCAGATATCAACACTTCTACTTTTCTTAGTTTGACTGATACATAAACCAGGATTCATAGATTCAAACATCATTACTTACAATCCAGTTGGTTGTTGTACAGTCTCTTAGTTTAATTGACCTTAGTTTAGCAGACTCTGGATATGTCAGTTAAATTAACATTTTTGTCCATTAAATCAAGGGTTTGGCAATTAATTTGAGAATTTACAGCAATTATGTCAAATACACAATCATGCAGATTTATGATTTCTTATTTAACAAGCACCCCCTTCCTCAAATGGTCTTTTAAATCAACACTTTATTGTGTGTGTTTTATGCAAAGCTGGGTACAAAACTAACACCTAAATCATAGACAAAGCTTCTTGTTGCTCAGTAATTCTTTTATTCAGTGAAGAACCTGTGAACTTTTATGTATAAGGTTTATTTGATAAAATTAAGCAACAGAAGAATATAGAAAACTTGAAATTAACTGTCTTGTCTAAACAGCAATAGAACAGCAGGCCAATGATAGCCTCAACAAAAGTTGTATTTCTGGCAGAGAGAAAGAAGAGAATGTTGTCTAGCTATCAAGTAAACATTTCAACTCTGTTCTGCTTCCAATCTTTGCACATGAGAACTCCACCCGTATCTTATCTACTTTCTATATTTGCACTGTATTATTCTTAATAATATCATCATCATAATTGTATTGTATTAACTTCTTGTAATTCTAATTACATTTAAATTTAATGTCTTTATTCTGGCTCCATCTACTTTAAACATGAAGTCTCAGCTTGCCACTCAAAGGATTAGTATGCTGCTCAGCCAACAAAGAAGTGCTTCTCAGACATCTGTTGGTCTAGGCCAAGGTGACCTGTTTCCTTTCCAGATTTGCTGGACTACAATTCCCAGCAAAGTTCACCAATGGCCATATTCTACGGGAATATTAGGAGTTGCTGAACATCTGCCTACTCCTGTCCTAAATATTCACCGCATAATGATGGTGACTATATGGAGACAAAATGTGGATCTTAACCCATATTTCAATTTATGGGGAGCCCCATGAAGAGTAATGCTTGTAAGTATAAATCCAAGTGAAGGTAATCACTTTAGTTGATTATGCGTCATCAAGTCAGTGTTGATTCTTAGCAATTATACGGATGAAGTGAAGATCATAAACATGGGTAGTATTAACCCATGTTTATTTTGGTCTTCCAGGTCACAGATGACTTCTACTCTATTGCTTCAGGAGTTCTTCATGTGAGCTCAGAAGTACATCCCACTGAATTCAGTGTGAATTTCTCTACATGGGCTTAGGATGGCAGCTCTAAGGTTCTTTGAGTGCCATGATACAATCTATGGAAAATAACAACCCAAGGAAAATAACAACACTGTATTTTTGCAATTATAAGCATTTCTGCAATTCTAATCTTCAAGTTTTCTGTTTTGATAATAGCCACTTTGTAAAGTTTAATTATGAGGTGCAACTTTTTAGGCTGCCAAAGCAATAGACAATGTCCCTATATATTTTAGCTGATGTGATTTCATCAGATGCTGCAATTACTGATTTACAGTCAGTAGTTAAAAATGTTATTGATATATGTATTACTCAGATATTCTACTGGGAGAGAACAAAGTCCACAACCAATTTTCTAGGCCAAGACCTATACCTGCCCTAGAGTACAAACTCTGGAAAGCTTCACAAAACATAGTAATAAGCCAAGAATTCAAGAGAATACTAACTCCATGGCTATAACAGAAGTTGGAAGAATAATCTTTTCTTCCATATATGTATACAAAAGAACAAAGAAGGTGTTAAACTAGTGAACTTTGTTTCTTGACATGCTGTCTTTAGGAGACATAAATCATAGTCTGCAGTCTCCTAATAATGGTAAATAAGATCCTTACAGCATTATAGGGATCCTTATAGCATTATAGGGATATTTATTGTCCATAATGTCTTCAATTTTGTTTTCAGTTTATAAGTTCCCTCTACAGTAATTAGCTTGAGAGACAGTGGCCAAACCAAGAACATTCTTACATATATATATATAT